CAAGATAACTATTCACGGAAAAAAGCTAAATAAAACAATAATAACAAAAAAAAACAACTTATCATGGTGAAAGGCAAGCTGACAATTTTAAAATTAGTCAAGTTGATAATGATGAGGAATGTGGGTTGGGTGGATTTGAAAGGATCTAACTTCTAAGGTCTTGTATGAGTTAGAGGCAAGAGAAGGATGAATATTTGGTTTTGAAAAATGTTGGCTGGGGTTTTTTTCCAATTTTTTTCTTGAAAAAAAAAAGACAAATGAAGTTATTTAGGTATTTATATAATGTCTTTAAAATCATATTGTTTGACATAGTGAAAGTTCAAAATAGTTTTTAAAAACTAGCACCTTTTTTGTTTTAATCCTCCAGTGGTTTGAATTTTGCAATCTATAACTAGATTTTAGTTAAACAAAATAAAATCTTTCAATTGGGCTCATGGTTGAAATCAAATGAGCCCTTATGTTTTCTTTACTTTTTCAAAGTAGTCTGTAACTCTAAAAACTTTCAAATGAAGTCACAATCAATTATAAAAATGAAAAATCTCTATTCGATTAAGCCCTTAATTTAATTAATAAGACCTCTTGAGCCATACCAATTTGTCAAGTCTGGTTTTTAATCCTTTAACCCCTAGACCAAAATTGATTTTAGTTTAATTACACCCTTGAACAATTATCTTATCCAATTAAAACCTGAAAGATCTTGTCTAGCTTAAAAAAATGATTTTTTTTTATATGTTTTTAAATTATTTTTTTCTTTTAGGAAAAACAAACTCAAGATAAAAAATAGATTATAACAAAAGATATCTCATTTAATTTATGGTTTATTGTCCTCTGTAAGCATGTTAAGCCCAAGGTTCCTTTAAATCTAAATTTAAAAATAATTGACCTCAATGAGTATTGAACCACCAAGACACCTCTAACCTAAATTGAGGTTATAATCATACAAGTTCAATCTAGGCTATTTGTTCTTGGGTAAGTTTTAGGACCACCTTGTAATTGCGCTTATGAGCCTTGTCCAAGAAGCATAAAATCTCGAGATGGACAAACCCAAATATAATATATTTCTTTAAATTCATCAAAATAAAATAAAGAAGACTCCTTAAACCCAAAATATTACTTCAAACCGTTAGCTATCATTAAGGATGCAAACCTTGTACACAACAAATCCTACATTCTGCAGATGAGTTTGTTGCCCCAGTAACGTACGATTGACACTAAACAGTCCTAGTTCTTGAATTGTATCGTTTGTTTGCACTAATAATGTACGATTGACACTAAACAGGCCAAATTCCTCACAGATGTTTGCTAGACCCTACTTCATGTTCTCACATTCCGTGGTGATCAGCTTTCAAAAAATTAAGAAAACAAAGATGATCAATCTAACTGCAACGTGTCTGGATAAGGTGGATAGGAATGAAGAGGGTCTCAGCAGCAACGAGCCTGCTCCATTCCGGTGGCCGGTACGGGGACGAAGGAGACCCCCACCACCATGAACTCCTCGTGCACGCCTCTGTAAACTTCCCGCTTCTAGATGCATTTCATCTGCAAGCATAATTAATATGATAACATGCAATATTTGGGGGGTATAATTAATTTTATATACAAAATTCAGACGTAAAGGAAAGGATTTTTCAAATTGATAGCACTTACTCTTATTTTGTTTGTCCCTTTGCAGTGGCTTGTTGAATCCAGGAGTAAAAGAACTTTCACATGCATGATATGAAAGAAGCGTGAAACAAATCATGAAGAAAATCCATGCAAGCATACTTCTCTTCATTTTCAAGGGCATAGCTGGAAGAATCAGGAATTTTAGCTTGCCTAGATTATTAGTGTGAGCTTAGTGGTGGTAAATTATGGGGCATTTAAATGAGAACCTGTCGGTGGATTAAAGGCAATGTCGAGAAAGTTTTAAATGGTTTTTAAAAATAAAAAAAATGCATTTCATTTGAATTTCCTTTCCCCTTTTTATTTCTTTATTCTTTTTAGATTCGTAAAATATTAAGAATATTAATCGTGGGGTATATGCTAGTGATAGTGCTTTCATCTTTTGAGTTGGAGACCTTTATTTCCCATTCTGGGCAACTTAAAAAATGTAATTCGTAGAAAAACAAAATAGAAACTATGCTGGAGGTGTCTAAAGATTTATCTCTCCTACAGTTGAATGATTCAACGTCTAATTAATCCACATGACATAAGAGATAATCTTAAATTGATTAAAATTTTATTGTTCATGAGAATTGTTATTCCAGTCGTTTAACCTTTTTCAAGTACAATTTCAGTCTTCCAAGAAAAATCTACCTTAATAATTGCAATAATATAATTGTCTATGAATCACAAAGTAAGAGTAATTATTGTACATGTGGTTATTCTATTGGAGCCAGAAATAAACGTTGGCATGTGCGGTCCTATACTAGCAATATCTTGTAATTATTATTATTATTATTTTGCATTTTGACCACCTTCTTTTGGTTATTGATTTTTTTAAAATAAATAAATAGTGTTTATATGGTGTGTTTATAAAGATTTAGAATTGTTAATTTATGTTAATTTATTTTTATATTATTATCACAGTATCAAAATAATATTTCAGTATCGGATTGATATCTTGAAAATATTTCAGCATCGATGTATGATCTATTTTTAAAAAAATTTGATTAAATAAAAAATAATTTAAAAAAAAAACTAAATTACTAATAGAGTCAATTACTTGATTTATAAATTTGATGAGATAATCTTAGCTGTCGCAATTCACGGGTTTAGCGGGTACCTTTTTGTTTTTAATTTTTTCTAATTGAACTCGATTATATAATCGTTTTTTTATCATATGGTTGAAAAAGTTTCAGAAAAAAAGCATATTAATAAATTTTAGAAATTTTATGGGTTTTTTGACAGGTTTGACAAGTTTAATTTTTTTTTTCTTTAAATTTATTTTTTATTTTATTTTTAATATTGAATTAATTAAAATTTAATATTAAATTTATTTTTTATTTTATTTTAAATATTGAATTAATTAAAATTTAATATTTATAATTTATTTTATTTTTCTTTATATAAAGTTATCGTAGTTATAAAAAAAATCCCAGTATTGGTTTGATGCTCGATTTTACAATTATTTATTTTTTATATTATATAGTTAAATAAACATGAGTTTAGAAGGAAAAAAAAAGTTATCAATCTCAACAGAGTCTATTACTAAGTTAGCGAGTTTGATATATTAACCCGAGTTATCCAATTCACAAGTTTAGCAGGTTTACTTATCAAACTTGATGTGTTTTGTTTTTAGTTTTTATCCCTTTAATTTTTCTAATTGTTTTTTTATATTTCACTCTTCTTTAATATTGGATTGGTTTGGAAATGAAATTCATGATATATTTTTTTATTTTCTATAGAATTATCACGATCTCAAATAATTTTTTTTAGGGTTGTACTTGATTTTGCAAACATTTATTGTTATTTTAAAATTAAATAAAAATAATTTATAAAAACAATAAAAGTCATGGACTTTTATATTGTAACTAAATATACATCTTTAATTCCTGCAAAAGCAAAATAAATATTCAGAATTAATCCATTCCCAAAGTATAATGCTTATCTTCTGATGATGCTACAGTCTAGCCTAATTTATTACTTCTTCAACCGCCAAACACATGTTTAATACTTTCCTTGAGCAGTATAGTTTTCTTATTACGATCATGATGGGCTTTTTTTTTTTTCCCTGATATCAAATTCTTTGAATCCAGTATACAAAGCCATTTTTTATTTTATGACGTAGTGTTTAACAAAGATAAAACTTTGTTATTGTTATTGAATCTGAATAGTAGTATTGATCTCCATAAAATAAATTAAATATCCTTATTTATATTAGTATTAAAAAAATTTATAGGAAATGATTCTTATTTAAAACTTTCTTAATAATTAAATAAATATAGCATTAGAATTTATAATTAGTAAAATACTAATTAAATTAAAATTCTTAAAATAAATAGAAAATAAACAATTAAAATATAAAATTAACTAGAAAAAAATTAAAATAAGAAAATAGTACCTTAATGCTTCATAGAAGATGTTTTTGGGTTTCTTTACGGACTTATTTTGAGGCTTGACAATATCAATCTAGTATATAAACTCCTGGGATAATTGTTCCATGTCATTATAACATACTCTAATTTTCATTGATTATTATCCGAGATGGAACAAAGTAAGCATGGAACGTCTCAACTAGAATTAGGCAAGAAATCTGAAATGACCCAAAATCCCGAGCAAGATGAAGTTTGTTTCATCTTGGTCCATTTTTTGAAATAGTATGGGGTATATTGGCCATTATAGTCGAAATAGAATGGAAATGACAACTTAGGTTCTTATGAATAGTAACAAATTTTATTTTCATTTTAATTTTCAAACTTTCTTAATTGCAATTTCATCCTCTTAAGTTATATTATCATGGTTTTATATATTGAGATTTCTTTTGAATTGTATTTTCTCGTACATATAAAGTGTTGAGTGATATTTTAGTAATGAATTGAAGAGCAATTTTTAACATGAAAATTTATTTATAGTTACACGTAAAAATTAAAAGAAGGACCAAACTTTAAAAAAAAAAATCAAACACCATTTTGATTTGGACACAAAAAACTTTAATTTGCTCCTTATAGTTTTTAGCTCATCTATTGTGTGGTCATTGTTATTTTAAAATTTCTCATTTTGATTCAGAATTTTATCATATTTTTTTGCTTTCTAGTGTTTGAAAATGAAGAGACTTAAAGAGAAAATCACTAGAAAATATTGATGAGAGAAAACATGGTTAAATGTCACATTCAAGCCACTAAAAAGAGTTATTAGTTTGTATCTTTGAGGGAGGTTCATTGAAAATGGGTTTTTCCTCTAAAAATATTTAAAAAAAATATATAGATCTTGTTCGTTAAAGTTTTTTTTATTCATAATTAGTTTTTTCAAATGATAATTAATGATTATGTTTGTCTTCCAAAAGTTAAGAAAATAAAAGATTGTCGGCGCAAATTGAATAGTGGATTAACATCAATATTCCAACAAGAAGCTAAATCCACCGTTAAGGAGGAGGAGGAAAGCAAGGTAAATTAGGTAACGATAAGATTAGGTAACAAAGCTATAGTATCTCGATCTTAATCAAAAGAAAACCAAAAACATGACGAATCCAACTACAGCAGATCCGAATGTTCTTGACAGAATTGTAGAGGATTTCAACAGTAAACTATGTGCTCCACTCTTGGGCTTGGTACGAGGACGAAGCGTATCTCCGCCACCATAAATTCCCTTGGCTCTTTGCAAACTCTTTAAATCAACCCCATGCATGACCCCCTCAAGCCTTCTCCGATCACCCTTTTCTTTTGATTCGCTTATCATCCCGTATACATCTGCACAGGACAGGAGGAACAGGGAGTTTCGAAACAAAAAACGCAAATTCTACAATCCGTATGAAACAATCTTGCTAACACTTACTCTGGAGTTGATCTCTTCTCATCAATGCGTTGTCCTGAGGGGCAACCGTTCCGTCGCATGCATAGCATGGAAGGGCTGTGAAGCAAATGAGTAGCAGCAGCCATGCTAGTATTCTCCCCCTCATGTTATACCTGCTAATTCTCAACTTCTATTTCAAATGTTTAATCAGGTGTGAGAGAAGTACAGACAAGGTTCAGTTGACAATTCAGCTACCTATTGGAGCTCACCGGATTTACATTAGCGTTGGTCGCTTATAAGATTTCCTCTCAGGTGGGCCATTAAGGAAATGGAATAAGTTCAGTGACTTCTTTTTGCTGTAGTGCTGCTGACTCCAGCTAGCTTTAACTGTGGCTGCAATAAGATGCTCTTCCTTCTTTTCCATGAATAAAGATAAGATGCTTTGTACATGGGCTAAACTATCTTATTACTAAACTAGTTTTTAGTTTAAAAATATAGTAATTATTTTTTAAAATATTTTTTATTTAAAATAATATTTTTTTATTTTTAAAAAATTATTTTTATATCAACATTTTAAAATAAAAAAATTAAATTTTATCCATAAATTAAATGCTTTATATTGCAGTAAAGTAGGACCTTGCCTCACGCTAGCATATGCAATCCTTTAATGGGAGAAGTCTAGATTTTAAAATTTCTCCACCCCACCGACAAGTCTTTTTCTATGTTCAAGATTCACTGACATTGATTCCATGTCAATTTAATGTGAGATCAAAGAGCATCACAAATTCAAATCACTTTAATATTGTAATAAAAATTCATTTTAATATTAAAATTTATTCTGATTCTAAGATGTAATTATATTAAAAAAAAATATTTAAAACATCCTGTCTTTGACTCTTTGCCTTTTAAGTGGAGCAATATCTTCTATTTATACTTGAAAAAATATATTGAATATCTTGCTATTTATATAGTTGATTTCTAGGCCTTTTTGTTTGGTGTTTTTTTTTTTTTTGTTCTTTACATTTAGGTCTCTTTTATTTGCAAATTCATGATAGAAAATTAAACAAATTAAATGAAAATTAGAGTTCTTTTTTTTTAAAACAGGACAATGCACAATACAAAATACACGAACTAAGAAATTAACACAAAAACATAATCTTCCATCATTTTCACTACTACTGCTCCAACCATTCATTACTCCAGTAACATCTCCATCACCAGCAACATCTGGCTCCTTTAATGGCTTGCTTTGTTTTTTATAAACACAGTCGAAGAACAAGAAAAGCTTCTACCTTTGCAATCCTGTCACAAGGGAGCACACAAAGACTCCTTCCTCAAGAGCCAAGAACGAAAACAAGAATGGCAAATTATTATTTGATGTTGTTTTCGGGTTCGGTTACAATTCTGAAACTAAGAAGAAGAATACTTCTACTGCTCATTCTAAGTTCCCAAGGAGAAATATGAACATTTGGTACTAAATACTGGAAACCTAGCGGCCACTTTCCCTTCCCCGTAAGTATGAAATGCTTTTGTTCCTCCTTGATTTATGCTCTTGCTTGGATTGTGATTCTTTAGGAGGTGCTAATACATGTTGATTTCATATGCGTTTGTGATGATGATAGAATAAGTAGGTAAATTTTGAATTTATGAATCTGGTATCATATTGATGAGCTCCCTATTTATCTCTCTCAAGTTACAAAGCTAGTATTTGAGATATTTAATTGATGTTTTAATTTTAATAATCTGATTTATTTTTTTTGAATAAGATTATTGGTTAATTATATTTGATATTTATAAAAAAAAAAAATTTAATATTAAAAGACTTTGAGTATCGTTTAAAAAAAATCATAATTTAAATGAAGAATCTAAAATTAGATATGTTATTTATGTTAAATTAAATAATAACAAATACAAAAAAACAATTATAATTCTTAATAATCTATTTATTATGAGTATATAGTCTTAATCTAAATATAAATAAAGTATATATAGTTCAAATTAAAAATATTATTCTTTATTAAGACTATATAAATATTATTTAATAATTTATAATTAAAAAAAACTAAATTTTTTTTTAATTGACTCAGGTATTTAACTGATTTCAAAAATAATAAATTATTATCCTCTCATTGATGATTTTTTTAAAGTACAAATCCAAATAAAAATAATAAATATTCATACATGAAAATTATGGCAGTTAAAATTATTAAATAAGATTTAAAAAATAATTTTATATTATTTTTCAAAATAAATGATGTTAGTCGACCTATTCGGGATAAGAACTCGCATAAAATCTTAAGTTCCCTTCAATCTTTTCACTTGTCCATTCTTTTTAGGCGCCTAAAGATAATAATGGAGAAAAATGGGGGATATGCTGGTGGACGGTGCATGACTGCCGGTGAAGGAGTTGAGGCGGATGCAAAAGAGAGTAAAAGAAGAGGGAATAAAGATTACTTTCTGGATCAACTGGCCTGAGCGCACTGCATAAAGGAAGATCTAACGCGAATAATTATCATAAATTTCCTTCAACAAGCTTTAATTTGTGCTTTAAATCTTGTGCTTCCCGTTGCCTCCCTCTCCCCCGACCAGAAGAATCACCTAAACTTCAGAACCGCTAGTCTAAAGCACCGAATTTTTCGAGTTGGATTGGCTTTTTTGTTGGATTTGGCTGAGGTCAACACGATCCTCGAGAATTCATAAAGCGGAAAACATCTCCGGTGGGTGGCGGAGGCGGCAAAAACAATATTTTTTTCAACTTTTTTTTTATTTTTTTATTTTTTTTCTTGCTCCGCCCAGGTGATGTTTTCTTATTAATATTTTTATTTATAAAAATGATATCATGAATTATAATTATGTATGTATGTGAAGATTTAAAGAATCAAAAAATATTTCTTTGTATTCATTTTTACATATAATTAAATATAAATAAAGGCAAATCTCGTACTATGGGTTCTTTCATTGACTTTTGACTTCCATCAATGAATGTTAACGTTTCTGAACCCTGTTAATTAACGGAAACAATAAAGTACGTAGGCTAAACATTGTGTAAAATACCGTGTACATAGATGCAAATAGCTATTTACTATGACAGTTAAATTATAAGTTTTTCTTGGTTTTTTTTGTTAAAATTTTATTAATTTTTAATTTATTCTTCGATGAAGTTTTATAGTGTAATATTTAATTTTTTTAATTCAGTTCTTTTTTTATTTATTTTTTTGTTAAATTAAATTTTCTTTTTAATTTAACCCTTCAATTTTATTTTTTTATCCTCTAATTTACTTTTTATTTTGATTTTCATCCTTATTTTTTTACTATAATTTTTTATTTTAAATCCTTTTATGTAATTAATTATTTTTTAGGTTTCATACCTTAACGTTTAATTTATTAGGGATTAGATTTTAGAATTTTTTTATTTACTGTACTTTCAATCTAATTAGTTAGGTCACAGGTTTGAAAAATTAATATATGCTAACATCTTTTTTTGTCATTTTATTTTCTAATTTTATCTTTCAACATTATTTAAAAAAAATAGTTATGTGATTATCTATATTTTTTTTATTAATTAATGCTAGTCTTATAAACTAACCCACGAGTTTTGTAAAAAAAATTGAATAATTTTTTTATAATTATTTTGGGTGTATTTGATTTTTGAAGATATTAATTTAATTTATTTATAAATTTTATATATACATATATGATATTTATTTTAAAAAATATTAGATATTTATTTTTAGAAATTATTTCTAATATATGCAACATATGTTTTCTCTTTTATTTTATTCAATCATTTTCATGTGAGTTTTTATTTATATTGTTATTGAATTTAATAAAAAAAATTAATTTTAATAAACAAATTCAATAAATAAGATAAATATTCCATATTGTGAGACCAAATATCTTAAACGATATTCATCGCTTAATTTTTTTAATTTTTCTTTTAGTTATTGTTAATGAATCTTTTTTATTTATTTATACCAATAATTATCAATTTATTTAATTAGGTGCTTGCATAAAAATTTTGAGTGAAAATTAAATTTTCTATTTACAAAAACATGTTAAAAAATCTTGCATATCCAATAAAAGATCTTTGAAAGAAAAAAAAAAGGTGTGTAACCATATTATAGGTAGTAAGAATATATTTTGCACATGCTACAACACAATGAGATAATAAAACCTTAAGGTTAATAAAAAAAACTATATTTTATCCAAAAAAAAAATAAAATGAAGAAAAAGTTCTAATAAAAACGAAAAAGCATAAGAAAATAAAATACTGAAAAACTAAAAAAGTCTCTATCGCCCTTTCTCCACCAATGCCCAAAAAAAATGCTCAAGTTAAGATTAAGAAAAAAGGTAAGAAAAAAAAATTACAAAAACACAATAAAAGTCAAAGCCTCTCTCTCCATTTTCTCTACGCCTGTTATTAGCAAAAAAGAAAGGCTCGTTTCAGTCCCCTAACTATTAAGAATTCTCAGCATAGTCTCCAAAATCTGGATCTATGATGTAAATAGTTCTCATGACAAACAGGCGCATAATTGCTTACTTTCTGGTCAGAAATTAGAAATATAGAGTCACATATTTGTATTCTGTACGTACGACTTGTGTGAAATCCATTTAGAAAATGGGTTAAGCCCAAATTAGATGAGCTGTTCTTCAGGGTTTTATAACCTTCTCAAATCCCATTAACGATGTAAAATAAAATTATATCTAAAATAATTTTAGAGTTATAATTTCAAAACTTGAAATACAAAAAAAAAAATTATTTTAAGAGATAATATACTGGCAAAATAAAGGACCATAAAACAGGAAGGAAGAATTTTGGGTTTGAAAGATATAGATCTTTAATGTTAATAATAATAATAATAAGAATACATGCCACCTTAACATATGGCTGATTATATAATGGCTTGAAAGAACAAAAGATGTTTCTACGTGACTGTATGCATGGAGCCGAGGCTCGCCGGTGAAAAGCTCAGAGGAGAAAGGATTTCCAAGCCAAATCCAATGGGACCCTTTGAGAACTGTGAGCCCAGATTGTGCCACAGAAAGAGAGGGATATTTTATTATTGATTAAAAAAAAAAAACTTTTTTTGGCATAGCTTATGTCACCGAAAGCTTGGGGGGGGTGTTCCTGGAACTGCCATTTCTGTTTTCTTACAGCTTGACCTTTCTTAGAACGCCGCACCGACAGGGAAACGATTTTAGAGGAACATGCCATCTGATATTTTAGCCGCTTGAAGCCTGTGTAAAATTGAAGCTATGAAAAATTAGAGATTTTAATAAGATCCTGCTTACTCAAAATGGTTGCCCTGAACGATTTTCAGTCATCATAAAAGATAATTGGTTCCCATCAGATTTTAAGTTTTTAACCCCCTTTTATGCCAAGGACCTCAAAATGTTGGTTTCCCATCAGATTGAATTATCCTACGTTTACTTAAATTCGAAAGCTTTATATCATATTTGCGTCGTATTATATTATTTGAGGATGTTTCAAAATCCAGCAGGTTATTTTTGTATTTAGATTGAGGTTAATTAAGATGTTCAACTATATAATTTTTTCTTCTTAGCTCAGGAATTACCAGGTTAATAATAAAAAATTTATTACTTGCAAAAATAATTTCTGATGAAGGGATTTATACGACAAAGACAATAAATAAAATAAAAGAGTTTTAAATTTCAAATGTAAAAATGTTTGTTTTTATTTTTTTGAATTATTAATACTTTAAATATATGTAAAATTTTAGAGTAGAAAACGTTTTGAATATTTTACTTGGATAATTTAGGAAATATTTATATTTTTCGAACCTGGTTGTTTTGATAAAAACAAAAAATTTAAAAACTCATCTTCACTTGATGACATTAATGAGAAATAAAAAAAATATATATTGTATTAATAAAAAAATATTTTTTACATGTCCATTTTATGTCATTAACCAAGAATAGAATTCTATAATTTTAAATTTCTAAGATCAATTGAACTTAATATATAGCCAAACTTATATTAAAATAAAATCATGGATATTCATTAAAAATACAAATCATATAAGGTTTAATAGACGTCAAAACTCAAATTTATAAAATATATTTCCTTGAATTTAGTTAATTAATGAATTCAATTGTATTAAGTTTGGCAATTTAGTAGGCTCATGTTAATTTGAGCTCATTTATCAACTCAACTCAAATCTATTAAATCTGATAATTCATGTTATTTTAAGTTTAATTGATAAATAAATTTAAATATGTTGAATATAATAAATTATCATATTTGTATTATCTCAAGCTTTGTTAATACATAAAAATATTAGGTAAAAAATATTGAATAATCATTATTGATACAGGTAAGCTAGAGTCATCAACCCCGTCCATCATCAAGGCATGCTCAACATGCTAGGCATGCTACAATATAAAAAAGACTAGCTTAATTTTCAATATACACGGGCGGCCAACTAGACAGTTCTTGTCCTGTTGGCTATTCTAGTTTTCATGTCACGCTCAATACTAAAGGAAAAGGAGATTACTTCAAACTCAAAATTAGCAGATTCGTCCAAATTTCAATACTAGGTCCCACCCATGCTGACATTATAACAACCCACATTTTAAAAAAAGCGCTTATGGACAACCCACTAAACCAAATATTACTAAAAATAGGCTGATATTTTATTTACTTAACAATATTGGAACAATGATCGCCCATGTGAAATACATGCATTGACTGCATGGTTTAAGAAAATTAACAGCCTAAGTATTGGTACAGGCAACTACTATGACTCTCTGTTTATGCAGATCCTCTAGTTGTGTTGAGAATATCTGCTAAATAAATACAAGGCACGTGCAAAAGCCAGGGGCAGGGTAACATAGAAAAGACATCTTTTTTCCTAATAAGGTAGAGCACCGCTTGGTATACAGCGACTCATTGAGAGAATTATTGAACACTCAACTTCAACAAATTGGGCAATTAACCACACCAGGCTTAGAACAGGAAAAAACTGAAGAAGGCGAGAACTGAACCAATTATATGGCTGGAAGGAAGTTGGGTTCGGACAGCAGACGATTTGCGACCACTACGAGGATAAAAACGAGCCCTTTTTTTTATGTGAACTCCTAACTTCGGAGTCTGAAATGAACTGATCAGGCCATTTTGTCTTCCCTGAGGCAGTTTGGGTTTGATGGGAACATTATCAAATTGACTCTTGACAGCTGAACTTGGAAGAGAGTGTGATAGCAAGAGGAGGCTGAAGAGCAGGAAAGTGAATACATTCCTCATTTGAGTCATGTCTGCTAAGGAAAAGTAGCTGAGATATTTGTTGTTTAGTGGACTCTATGATTAATAAGGAGGAGGTATTTATAAGCAGTGCCGCAAGCAATCAAGAATTTAAAATATTACCTACCTGTGAAGTGCCCCTTCCTGCACATGGACGTCGGTTGAAAGATACCTACAACAGCCTAGCAAATTGACACTAGTAGCAAACTTAAGTAAGGTATCTCTTTCCAGCATGACAAGCGAATTTGGAATGGCAAGATTTTACTTCACTTGATTTCATGATAAGAAAAGGGCAGAACAGAATCATATTGCATATCAGCAAAAATAATTTTTCAGTGCATTACAGTGCTTGTCCTAGTGGTGGAAGGGGCTTGTTTCCTTCCACTGCACCTGGGTTCGAGCCCTGGCGTGCATGTCTGTCACCCCCGCGGTGCCTTACATGTCTACTGAATTTGCAGGGTATTTAGTGGGCCGTGGAGATTAGTCGTGGTGCGCGCAAGTTGGCCCGGATATCTCACGTAAATCAAAATAATAATAATAATAATAATTTTTCAGTAAAAAATGACAAGAAGAATATTAGCTAGGACTTCTTTATCCCAAGACTAGCTTGGAGTTTTCTACAGGATACCCCTTGTAATAAAATTCATGGGGTAAATTACTTAGATTGCCAAAAAAACAATTGAAACAAAATAAAGCTAGGTGGAGGATGATTCTTGATGCTGATACCAAATATTGACTCCAAGGCATTGGTGTAATGTCAATAAACTACTAAAGCACCTAAAGTGGAAGATGATTTTTAATTTAATCAAATCTTTCTATCTTTTTTCCTAGATACAATGCTTCCAACTAATACTACGCAGACTTTATTTAGATCTTACTATGCAAAGGCCTTACTCTTCTGCTGTTAAACATGTTCCTTTGGCATATGCTTTGCAAAAACAAATAAAGCACTGGTATCTTAGACAGTTGGTGTCCACTGGTATTTTAGACAGGAAATACTGGCATTTGGATGAATGCATGATTTAGTCGGCAGAATAGTTTATCAAGAATATCTTGGCTGAGCTCCTGAAATGTTGAAACCTGGCCCACATGTTTAGCCAGTTCACCTGTGACTCGATCCAAGTACGAAACATGAAGCCCTTTTCTGCTCTCAAGAAGTGCTAGCACTTTGCGAGCATGGAGAAATGAGATCACCCACTCCTCAAATACCGCTGCAATGGAGCTATCGGATGCCATGTTTATGGTTTCTGATGCATGCTTCTAAAGCGTGATCATAGATCCAACAAAGAGAAGTATACCAATAATGTTCTCAAATTACAGAATGCCAAGAATGTATTAACTTCCGATCCAGCTTTAGAGAAATACTAATTGTAAAACAGCTAACATGAAATTCGAATGCAAAACCAAGAGGAAGCTTAATCAGCAGAAACCAACGAGAACCTAAGCAACATGGACAAAAGGCAGGAAAGATACATACCACAGTCAAAGCCTTCATCCCTCAACCAAGTTAACAAGTAGCCTGATATCAAAAACTCAATAAGCTGGATCATATCATCTACCAAAAAGGTTAAAAGAACAATGAGAAGAAGATAAATGAGAAGGCTATGGTACTCCTGGAGAACCAAATTATACTTGCATCTAAATTCTTTATTGAAGAACCAATATGAAATTTCTATTGTAATAAAAGTTCAGCTCAAAATAAGATCACATATCCTCAAAGAAAGGTCTGGTGATAAGACATAATGGATAAGTAGAACCAGCAGAAATTATGCATGGATTAGCTTCTCATAATAAAATGCTGTTTCCAAGCTCAAGTTAATGGGCTTCGGTTATGGATAAGTTTTGAAAAACTGATTAGGGTCAGGATGGAATTGATGGTCATGATTGTGAATCTTACCATAGTACCTATATGATGAACAGGCACTCATGCAAGTTTGGAAAAGCCTCTTATCAAATGGCTCCAAGAATAGCACTTTTTCTGCTACCATGGAAATTCTTTGAGAAACTGGATATTGCACGCTGCCCAAAGTAAGGTTCACATCCAAGTTTTCGGATCAAGTGGTGAATATAGAACTGGGTATCAGTTAAATTTGATGTGACTCTGTAACAGCGCATCAAGATATTAACAGGAAGAACTCATTAACAGGCAAAACTAGAATGAAATTAAATAACATAAAACAACCAATAGAATCACTCATTGGAACAAACCAAAGCACTTAGTGGTTTTGTGTTCCTTCCAATTTTGTCAACAGGGAAATCAAGAGGGTTGGTTCAATTAACCAAGGAGAGACACCAAAATAATAGATCAAAGTTCCTACTGTTAGATTTCATATATGTATCTACTAAATTTTGTTGCATCTTAATTTCCAAAAGCAGCCAGATGCTTAACATCTCCATGTGAAGGGGAACACATCCTTTTCACTAAACTCACAATTAAGCTACCGATAATGGACTCGGTGTTATTTCCTATTGATAACGGGTTCCTCGGTGATGGTACAAGAGACAGGAATAAGATTAAAATTGAAAATAGTCCAAGCAACAAGGGAAAAGATTAACAGAAGTGGTGATTGCAGGTAGATGCGATGGCCCCTAACCAATCTATCGAAGAAGAGAAACTGTACATGGAAAAGAGGTAATAATGCAAAGCTTATAGCCCATCATTGGAGGTATTTGAAAACAGAACAGCAGAGCATATTCAAACATTAATGTTTGAATCTAAAACTTTCTTGTACTGAATTGAACAAACGTCAGCCAGCTTCCGGTACTTGATTGAAAAAATGCTAGCACCTAATCAATGGAGAGTGGCTAACAAAATAAATATGCATGTTATTATTTATTTTCTCAGCAGTATTATTTATTTTCTCAGCAGTTCTCCATCACTAACTAGTCCAAAACAACTTAAGTGAAACGTTTCCCAACTTATCACCTAAAGCCATAGGTTTAGTTTTTCAAAACCACGATGTCTCTTATTCTTTTTCTTTTGATTTGTGAATACGTGCCTTGAAACCTGAGAATTCGATATATGATGGTGTCAAAAAGTATCGCCACCCGCTCCTGCTCTGTAGCAACTTCCTAATCGACAGCTACTACTGCGTAGGACATATTCAGCCTCTTCCTATGGTACTTTTTCCCACTACTCTCGTGAATCCCACACCTTACAAGCATCCGGAATATCATTAGGTTTCATGGCAATGGCGGATGTTCAATTTAATTTATGAGATTTAACTAGGTTGAGAACATTGATATTCAGGTTATATTTGTAATCCTGTAGATACGTTATACCTATTATAGCATAGAAGCAAGAGTGCTTCCCTTTCTATTTGCACCTACGTCATGTCCAGTCAGTCTGCACAATTATTCTTATGAAAGTTAAAAACAAAATAACCAATCTAAAGACTCATTTACCATCACGATTGCACCCAACTCGTTCTTGAAATAAAGAACAGACGGTAAAAGACTCATTCACCATCACGATTCCCTCATTCGCAGTAGAGCAAACACAAAATTCTAAAACAAAATTCCTAAAAACTCTCTTGATTACTGATAACAAAACAGTAGGTCTGCCTAGCAAACCGACTCAACTTCCATCTAAATTCATTACAAGGCTGATTGGTACACTCCACGTTCAAACAAGATTTGAATTATCTTAATATACCAACATAGCAGTTCAAAATAAACAGAAAGGTGTCCATAAATTCATCTCACAGTTCTTGCCCGCGTGGAACGTTTTGTGGAGGCACGTACGTGCCTGTTAGACAGGGCAAAGTCCACGAAGTAGTCTGGACACGTTAAATGTCTAGTCTGACAAAAACAACCATAACTTTAGATATGACTGTTGGATGGGACTGAAATTTAACAAGGAGGTTCTACAATCCTTGCTCCATATAAGGTCAGCTTGCCAGCACCTGATGAGGTTGGGAAGACCCTTAAATTAAACCGTAAGTTTTGCTACTGTATAAACTGTTGTTATAGCTATAACCTTAGCGCTCGAGAAACCCTAGTTCTATTTTTTCCTTTATACGTTGCTTCATTGCCTCCTAGAGCCTATCCCACGTAACTCCCCCAATCCCCTCCTTTGAACAAGATTTTGATCACATTAATCCACCGATATCTTCATAAATGAACTAATATGTATGTTTAGCGGCTACTAACAGGAGAAGGAAAAAAATGTCTACTGAAGATGCTTCAAGTTAATTCCACATGTATCGAAGGTCGGGAAGAAGTGAAGAAAACAAATCTCTATTGATCTCTCAGTGTCAAAAATTACAGATAACTCATGTGAAGCAAATTAAATACATTAATCAAAATGCATTTAAAAGCAATAAATATTCCATTCATGGTATTAAACAATTAAAGAAAATACTATTTCCTGGAGATTACGCAACAGCACTTGAATTAACTCAATTAACCACACTGATTCAAAATGCCGCTAATTTAAGGTAAAAATGGTCAGTCGAATCACCTGAAAATCGTTGTTTTCTATTTGAATTATTTCTTCTTCTTCCTTCTTTATCTTTAACGGCACTGCAAAAATAAAAAATCCAGTCATGTAATTATATTGATTAACTGATGAACCTAGTTAATAAATTAAGAGTGAAAATCGTTATATCAGTCATGATGATAATGAGAATAATGAGACCTTGTCTAAGAAATTGACGGCGAAGGGCATAGTTAAATATGCGATCAGAGCCGTCTCCGGCTTGCTTAGGCCTTAATTTCCCCAAATTATTAAAGAAAAAGCATTTGCATAATCCAGTTTGTGGAAACAAATCACACTGTGAAGCATCTATAACACACAAAAAATAAGAAAGAAAATTGAAAAACCTGAGCGGAAAGAGAGAGAAAAACAAATTCTATAACCTTCAGCTTCCTTGAGATCTTCTCTCAGTCGAAGCTCTTGTTTTCGCTCCAGTCTTTCAAAAAAAAAAAAAAACAGAGCGTAATTATGCTCTGTTTGTTTTGTCAAAACCTAATCGCGAGTCAAATGGCTGCATTTGATTGTGTTCCAAACAGAGAATATAGATAGACGAAAATCCAGCGAAGAGCGGCGGATTCTGAAGGAAGATTGTTAGGAGGAGGAGCAGGAGGAGGCTGTTTCTGGAGAAGTTTTGATCGCAGGAGGGAAATTGCAACGGTGAGCTTCAATGAGTCGTCATCTGTTGATGACGCCGATGCCGTTTTGGTGTTTGTTTCTGGTTTCACTTGAGGCCATACTTTTAATTTGAAGTTTACTTAACGCGGGAGAATCTTGAGCTTTGTAGTTCAGTTTGCTTTATTTACAGGGAGATCCGCTAATATAATGGAAGTGGGGTCGTTATATTTTTCAAAAAAAAAAGTACTTATTTAATTATTTTGCAATAGAAGCTGTTTTGGCTTGAGAAATATTTTTATGTAAAATATTTTATATGTAAATATTTTTAATGATAATTGTAAAGATAATAATGATAATAATAAAATGATAGTATTAATGGTGGTGATGTGGCAATAATAATAGAGAAAATAATTATGATGATAATGAATAAAAAATAAAAATGATAGTGATGAGATGGCAGCGAAAAAAATAATTATAATAAAAAATTAATGATGTGATAGCAATACTGATGGAATGACGATCGTAGTGTATTTATCACTAATAAATTCGATTTTTCATTGACAAAAAAGCAATACAAAGAAAGAAGTGCTGCTACCTAAAATTGACCTAGAAGCCGATGTAACCAGAAAAGAAAATTTGGCTAAATAACAAAGAGGTTGATGCAGTACAGTTCCTTGCCTTGTACAAATGTATTATCATGGAGAAATTAGGGATCCACATCGAATCAGTCAGTTTCATTGAAAGTTGAAGCCGCGCAATTGAATTCAAGGGAACACCCTCTGTTGAATCTTCTTCGTGTCGAAGATTTTTATTGTTTGCATGGGACCCTATCAAGGGAACCACCGCTCTATACCGGACCGGTACCGGATATTGATAATAACCCATCAGAAGTTGAGGGTGAAATGCCCTCTTCACACAGCCCTAGCCATTATTCCAGTGGGGTTTCTTGTCCCAGAGACATTGAAATATGACCTAAAAATTGAAAGGCATCCTATCTGCAAGCTTCCAACCTATAAATTCAAGCTCCGATTAGGATGTCCTGCGACCAGCTTGACACTATAAGCTTCACTTGTCAGTTTCCTCTAGACAAATCCCACCACTTCCTCCGCCGCCGCCACTTAACGCTCTTTTTGAAGCTGGATGGCAAAACAGAACTTGGCTCCTCTTAACAAACCAAAAATTACCGAAGTCAAGAAAGGATATAATTTGGCAAAGACTTCTGCTGCATAATTATAGCACGCCAACAGCTTGCATTTCTTGAAACCATGGCAGCTTGCAGGAAGCGTAATCAAATGTGGAAGGAGCAGATTAACCTTCAAAACCAACTAAATCTGGTATGTTATAGCACCAGCAATCAGGCTAGCATCATAACTGACGGGCACCAGAGAACGCAACAGCACAACAAACAAAAGGTGATACAAGTGAGGATGTAGAAAGTGATTTATGAGCTGAGTTCAAATAATAAACTAAATTACTCAGTCAAGAGAACAAAAATTGAAAACTAATCAAATACAAAACAACTGGATCCCTTGAAGGGACATGCTTCTCGAGCTACAGGCACGCGAGACCAAAATCCACAGCATTATGGTTTGATTTCTTTCTTCGGTAACACACAACTATGATCTCAGGAAAAAATATACAACTCAAAAAATATGTCATGTTCTTGGCAGCTCCACCTTATCACATAGTACAAGTTGCTCGCCTCAAAATGGTGTAGGCGGGGCATTATGAAGTACACGTAAGCACAAAAAAGTTGGATACAGATGGTGAAGTACTCACGTAATAGAATGGTAGACTTACTAAAACAAACTCTGGCAAGCCTCAATGGCGGATGCTTGAGTGTCCAATACAAGTTGCCCATCCGGACTTGAAATAATGACCCTTATTGCTGCATCAAACATGGCTCTCCGATACATATCATCCTCCATCTTCTTAAGGACCTCTATTACCATTTTAAAGTCCAGTCCCCCAACCAAGACTAATTTCCCGATAATTTCACCAAAATTATTTGGTGCCTTTGGCAAATCAATGCCAATATCATCCAACATAGAACCATAGAGTAAGCACCCGGTCCCTATGTCTTTAGCTGTGAGGACCTTCTTGGAAAACAAATATTCCAAAAGTTTGGCAACTGGTTCAACACATGGTGGGTTTGCCTCTAGTGCAATGAAGATAGCTTCCTTGACAACTTCAGGGTGATAAGCTGGAGACTTCAGCTCCTCCACACATTGCAATGCCTCATCCAGAAGCAAGACACTGAAATATTCCTTCAGGAGTGAGACGGTCTTTCTCCTGAGTTCGTCAGGATTCACCCTAGCAGCTGAAACAACTGGTCTCTCTGAAACTGGAGGCACGTAAGGAGCAGGAAGCGTTTTACTAGGCAGAGAGGCATGAGCAGGAGGCTCTGCACTGAAACCAGAGTTTGATGGCCTAGAAGGAGGACCACCACTTCCCTGCAGGAGGGCACTGCTCCTACCACCTATAGAACCACCACTGCCCTCGGGTAACAGCCTGGTGTTTAGTGATGACTTGTTAAACATTGGTGATTGGACACGTCCCCCAAGCTGTGTAAGACCATCACCCCTTGGCATTGAGCGGTTTCTAGGTATCTCCCAGTTGTCATTATCAATTCCAGGCATCCCAGGCATTCTCCTAGTTCCTGGCATGCCAGGCATCATCCCCCCAGTGCCAGGTCGGTTGATGGGGAAGCCCCCAGGGCCAGTAGTCCCTGGAGCGGTGGAAATAAGACCACGGTTATTTCTAATGCTTGCAGTAGCACCTGGACGCAGCCCAAGAGTCTTTTCTGCCTCAGAATGAATCTCTGTGATGGTTTTAGCTTTGACCTGCAATGACAACCAATAAAATATTTACATAAATACAGCATCTATTACCTGAATTAGAAATTAATGGTAGAAATCTTACCTCTTCACGCCTAGGAACCCAGTTGTTCATCCGTAGGTCAAGAACACCGCGCACCATGAACCTCAGTCGAGGAGCCAGCTGAGGATTTGATGCCAGTTCCTTCAATCGACCAAAGTACACATCATTTATTCGTCGCGACTTTGGGCTTTCATCAAGCTGCTTACCAATGGTATTAAAGAACTGGCATATGGCCTCAACACTTTCTTCAGCGGGACAACCTTTATTATCGGGCCCTAGAAGCTCCTGTTCACATAGCAAAGCAGCTGTAAGCAATCCTAAGAACCTCCACCAGTGTCACAAAAAGTTGAAGTGAAGCTCCACTGCTAACCTGAACAATATGATGGACAATCCTTTCAGGAACCATGTTCTGCTTCAGAAGCTCTCCAATCAAACGCATGTTTCCAAGAGTGCGAAGCTTGACCAGTTTTTCCTTATCCTTACGCTCAAGCTCTTGCTCTGGACCTGTCATCTGTCTTAATTCCTCCCTCAGCTTATCAGCACCTTCAAATGCCTCTTGACAGATATTCAAGAGCACACGCTTAAATGTGATCTCTTTCCCACCAGGTTCATCTGATGGGAATGCAGGGAGCTTTTCATTAAGATCAGAGCACAGTTGTGCGTACATAGGGCAGAATGTGGGTTCAAGAACAGCCTTGTCGAATATAAGTGATATCACACCCTGCATTCAGAATCAAACTTGAGCTCAACTGGCAGCTGTATAAATCTAAAGGAATAGAAAAAATATGAACCAAAAAGTTCACCTTCAAGATATCAGTTGATGTAATTCCAGAGTCAATAAGCTGACCCTTGAGAACATCAAACTTCTCAGGGGTGAGCTTGTTCAGTATACTGCACAGAAAACAGAGAGCATTCAGCATATAGCCACCAGAGATACTTGTATCAAACAAGCCCTTCAGATTTTTGAAAGCAATGGCGTGAGTCTGAATCACATTAAAAGCCATAGAATCCAAATAGGTAAAAGTACAAAAGGAAATGATGAGAATCTCCAGCAATTTAATGGGTGAGAAAGAACCAAGGTTAAGAAAATAAAATCAAACCCGAATCTACATGGAGTGACATCCATTTAGGCTATCCATTGCTGTCAATGGCAATGATGACAATCAAAAACACATGTTAATTTTGGTGTTTGTAATAAATACCAGTTCCAGGATAGTGAAATGTCCCATGTTCAGAAATTCAATTTGTCATGTGGTGCATACTATATACTTCAAACAAATTCTAAAACCATGGCTGGGAAATTCTTGAATTGTAAAATATTATTCTAAGTGAAATTTGATGTTTCGATTTTAAGAGCTTGCAAGTTCAAAGACATTCAAGATTGCAGCTGAAGCATCATGGATGCTTTCATTACTCAAAATTAAAATCAAATTATACAGATTTTAACATAAAAAAGAATATGCGAAAACCCAACGTGATTGTGCAATTGAGGACACTGCACTATATTCCAGATATATCACCAAAATGCTGTCAAGTTGCCAACAAGTCCACATTTTCATGTGGAGATTTTAACATAAAAACATGATGCTTGAGAAGCCAACCATGTCTTGGGTAAAAGCACAAGCCTGTCCCCAGACCTTACTGCATTCAGGCCATAACCATGAAATGACACATGTATCCCATTTGATATTTTCCAACTCAAAAAAAAGTCACATAGGAAATCATCAGCATCAGTTACCCTTTTACAGTCTTCAAGACACGTTCCTTTTCAGAAAGATTCACCCTTCTACTAGACCATGGCACCTCAGCCTTGACCAAAGCAGGAGCAGGTCCTCCCTGGTTTAAAAGGAAAATACAGGAGTTGAAGCTAAAATAAAACATGAGCACATAACTTAGTTTAAAGAAAGCACCAGAATACAACATAATAACAAACGAAGAGTAGAGTGAAGGAGAAGTTCAAAGAATTCATGGTAGAACTAAGGTCATCTAGATGAGGAACTGACCTGAAAAAATTGTATTAATATCTTGAACCAGACAGAGTTATTATATTATGGTTCGATAGTCATTGTGTTCCATTGAACTAAAACGTTACCAAATCTATGTAATGCAGCAAAAGAATGAGACAAAAGCTGCCTGCCCCTTCTGGTACATTATTCCTAATTAGAAGTTCAACAAGAAGCTAAAGAAAACTTCTAAAGGTATGCATTTCATTAAGATGATATGGTTGATGGCAAGAGCATCTACAATTCAACTGCTTCAGGTAAAACTTTCCATGATATACAAAAGAAAAGGTGTTGGATTAAAAATCTTGTGAG